ATGTCAGTGTGAAATGCAAGCGATTTTTCTTTATGCATTCATACAGATATACAGTTCTCTGTTGGGAGAATGCAAATTGTTAAGCAATACAGCGTCTGCCATGCTCTAATGACAGAGCACTCGGTTTCCGCTCGCCTCATGGCCTGCAGGGACGCCCAACACCAAGCCCTAATGATTTCTAATGGCAGAGGAGTGGCCACTGGAAACAAGGGTGCAGAGAAGGATGAGTAGGAGTGTCCCGACCGGAAGCAGAAGTGTAAAAAGTGCCAGAGTCTGAGAAAGATGGGAGGATGTCTATTTGACTGTCTAATCTCGTCAGTTGTTTTAACAACCATGTCTTGCACCACAACATGGCCATTAAGGAATTAGCCAAATGTGGGTGCACACACACACACGGCCCCCCGGGTGTTTCTATAAAAGTAGGTAATTAGTGCTCCTCACGTCAGGCATCTAAGAAGCTAATAACATGCTTACTGAGTTTTACATTGTTAGGTCAAGTGAACTGCCAGCGGGAATGATGGGAAACTCAATTTGACATTGTTAAGGGATGTTTCATACATTGTGTGTGTGTTTACGCGTTAAAGGTGGTCCGGGTTTGAATGCCAAGACCAAAGGTCACCCTGTAAAGGTTTAAACCTGTCCTACAGGGGTGTGTTCCAGGGGTCAGAGGTCGGAAAAAATTTAATTTAAAGTGGTAAAAGTTCAGTCTTGCCTTTGTTTGTTACCTGCAAAAAAAACTTGCCCACTTAGGTAATTGGTCATCCGGTTTGTGAAATCGCTTTGGGATGTGTGAAAGCACATATTTGTGAAAGTGCATATTTAAATCTGGTAATTCCTCAAGCACTCAATAGAGTGCAACAGTGACCGTCCACTTTTTAATTGTCATTGGTTTGATTTTTTCCTCCATTAATTTTCTCCATAAAGACAACTGTTTTTAGAGCTCTGTGATGAATTGCAACACAAAAACATTTTATTTGATGTAAAAAAGTATTTGACAAAGCTGTGTCCTTTTATAAGGTAATGGACTTCCCTTATGGAATACTGTGAATAATGTAATCCAATCAGAAACTGCAGTACAATATAAAAGGCACTTGAAGAAAAAAAATAAGAAAAATAAAACACTAAAATATCAGTATTCAGACTTTTAACTTGGTACTTACTGTTATTTTAGTATCTCTGATATACTATATATTTTTTGTTAATAATTTGAATTAAATTAAAATTTTTATATTTTGTATTTTCACTTTAATGTTAAAATTTTCATTTTTGTTAGTTACTTTTTAAATGTCTATATACTATATATCATATATAATGTATATAATGGCTTGACATTAAAAATTGTCAACATGTGACCGAAACGTTTGCCTTGTTTTTACTCAGTAAATTGCTTATATTGCTTTCATCTCGCTTGTGACTCTTTGATGTTTGAGTGCGAGGGCTTTTTTCAAGCTCTTCACCTTTGGGAAACTTTTTTGGTCTATGCACCTCAGTTGGATTATTTTGAAGGCGCGGTGAGTTTCTGGCTGCTTCTCTTATATACTATATATGCATTCATTTTTTTTGTACTAAAACTAAAATAAAAACTAATAAATAAAATAATTAAAACCATATACATTTTTGTATTCATTAGTTTTAGTTTGTGTACTGAAAATGTATGCCTTGGAAACTAGCAAAAGTAAGTTTACGTTTTTTGTACTTTTATTTCAGTTAAAGGGATAGTTCACCCAAAAAATTAAAATTCTGACAGAATTTTCATTTTTGGGTGAACTGAACCTTTAACATATTTTGTTTCAAGTAACAAAAATGCTTTTATGCTTTTAGTTAGTTAATGATGGTAATGCTGCTTTGATAACAATTACAGCCTCAAGTCTTTTTGGTTATGATGCGACAAGCTTTGCACTCCTAGATTTGGGGATTTCCTCCTATTTTCTTTCTCCCCGAAGGCTCAGTTTGGACGAACTGCCAGCTGTAGGAAGACTGGTTGTTCCTAACTTCTTCCATTCAATAATTATGGAAGCAACCTTTAATGCAACAGCCTTACGCAAATGTGTGCCTCAACACAATCCTGTCTGAGCTCTGCAGACAATTCTTTTGACCTCATGGCTTGATTTTTGCTCCGACTTGCATTTTCAGCTGTTAGAACTTATTATAGACAGCTGGGTGTTTTTCCTAATCGGGTCCAATCAATTGAATTTGCTACAGATTTACTCCAATCAATCTGTAGAAACATCTCAAAGAGGATCCAGAAAAATGGGATCCACCCGAGCAAAATTTCAAATGTCATAGTAAAGGGTATGATAGTAATATTTTTGTATATATTGTTTTTTCTTTATAATTTTTTTTTCTTTTAAGCTATCACAAATTTGGCTTTTGTTTTGGCATTATGGCTTATGGAGTGTAGAAAAAAATAGAAAAAAAACATTTAAAGCACACACACAAATAAATAAATAAAAATGAATTTTTACTTTAGTAACCCAATTTGTGCGCTCAACTTCTCTCTCAAGTTCACACTGTTCTTGCGTTCTTTGTGGATGACTGCAATTTCTCTGGATGTCTTTGAAGAACTCTTACTGTGCGTAGCGTTCCTACTCCTGTATCTTTCTGATTCAGCACCGCAATTACAGCGAAAGAAAAAAAACTACATCAAAGAAAATTCAACCCCACACAACTGCATGTGCACCGGTCAAAGAATATGTGATTAGAAGAAAGTCTTGTGAATGCATTTCAGATTCCCAACATCGGTCACCCTGCCAGAAGGCTGTGGCTTTGTGAGTAGTTTGTTGTTTTAAAGCAGACCACAAATGACCCTTCAAATTGGGCGTTTTGGGATTGTTGCCACCAGCAGCTAGTTAAGAGCGCTTCACCATTTCCTTGCATGGGAAAATACAATGGCCCTTTTCCATGACCTAAAAGAAAACCTTTGAATGTCAAGATGTTTTTCTCTAAAATGCTTGATTATTAAAAGTGTATTAAGTGCATTGACTCTAAAAAAAAAAAAAAAGATACAGAAATAATGGCTTCGGGATCATCGTGTCCTCCCAAGACCGGGCGGTTTTCAGCTAATCACAGCTGGAGTTTTGAATGCTGTTACACACATTTATCTTTAGGGGTACTGCTGGTCTAATTCACATTTTGCTTTTGGCGGTGTTGGCTGATCGTAAACAAAGACAGGCCATCTCATTATCCCGTGGTTTTCTCTGTGAGGCTGCCATGTCGTCGGCGTCCTAAACTGCACCTGGACGTTTGGTAAGAATTACCTCTGGCATCCACCGGTAGACTTTGGCTTTTGGTTGGCACGGCTTGGAAATGGGACGTGGACTGAATACCAAAACCTGAAACCCAGACGACTCCTACATCTTGCCGTGACCCAAATAAACTTATCCTGATGCAGACCTGATCAGTATGACAGTATATACTGTATGACCATAGAAAAACATATCAATGCACATCAGATCTTGTTTGTTTTCTTTACCAAAGTGTTACATAATGTGAAGCTGTTTTTGCACTAATGCCAGACTTCATTTATTATGAATAGTCTTATCTTTTGGTTTGCATCCATCAAATACCAAATAAGATCAAATAGGTTTTACATTTCACTTGAAAAAGAAACTTAGTTTGCTTAATTATCCACATATAGGCATGGGTATTTAATATTAAAACCATTTTACCAGCCAAAAATGGCTGTATTGTGATATCACACCATTACCATGAAGTAAAATTACTCATAACATAATTGCTTTGAGGATTTTTTGTCATACCAGCCACATCTATTCTGAACTGTTGCTAACTTTTTCTTTTTTTTTTAAATAAATCATAACTTACCTGCGTTTGGGGCTTCCCTGATGTCCCGGCTTTCTTGTCTGGAGAGCCGTTCCGCTTATCTGCACTCTTCTTCTTCTCTGGGGTCTGGAAAAATGGACAGAGAAAGAAAAGAGAGAGAGACGTTGCAATCCCAGGTTAAAATGTGCAGAGAAAATATTTAACACGTGTCAAAGACAGAACCGCTCCAGTCAACTGTCATGCTCAGTGTTAGAATCATAACAGCGGATAATGTTTGTGAATTGAGTGATTGTGACGGCTTTGCTCTTCAGTGATGTAACACAATACGCTTCTCAGATGTTTATTTCAGTCAGCTGTCAGAGAGCCGTGATGAAAGAGAGCAGTAATTTGTAGAAAGCGCAGCCTGTCTAGTCACGGCCTAATGGGACCACAGGACACTGTCATTGCTCTAAAACTCTATACCCCAGAGAGAAAAACAGACAGCGGAAGAAAGACAAGTAAAAAAGGTTGAAAAAAAAGAAATATGGATGGGGAGTAAGAAATACTGTACACTTTCTATGAATCTATACACACACAATATGTGACCCTGGACCCCAAAACCAGTCTTAAGTGTCAATTTTTCGAAATTGAGATTTATACATCATCTGAAATTTGAATAAGCTTTCCGCTGATGTATGGCTTGTTAGGATAGGACAATATTTGGCCGAGATACAACTATTTGAAAATCTGGAATCTGAGGGTGCAAAAAAATCTAAATATTGAGAAAATCGCCTTTAAAGTTGTCCAAATGAAGTTCTTAGCAATGCACATTACTAATCAAAAATTAAGTTTTGATATATTTACAGTAGGAAATTTACAAAATATCTTCATGGAACATGGTTTTTACTTAACGTCCTAATGATAAAAGAAAAATCAATCATTTTGACCCATACAATGTATTGTTGGCTATTTCTACAAATATACCCCAGCGACTTAAGACTTTGAGATTAAGATCTTAAGATTTTGTGGTCCAGGGTCACATATTAGGCTTTATAAACAACACTGATAATGTAAATCACCATCTTATAACTAATTATATGGTTGCTATTTTTCTCAGGAGCAAAGTTATAATATGTAATTTGAATGTATGAAAGTATACATTAATAATCATAAACAGACTTCATAAAAAGTGTTTCCAGCAAAATGAACAGTGAATGTATCAACAAGTTAAAGACCTGATGGTTCAAAGATAGAGACGTCTCGAGACGGCTAAAGAAAGAGAGAGTGAGAGATTGAAACGCTGTGAGAAGAGAAGAAAGCATTCAGGATGGGGGGATGAGAGAGCATGTGACAGAAGTGCTCGTCTGTCGTCCCTCCTCAGGGCAGGAATCAGTCCTCACAGAGCAGGTATGTACCCGCTTTGATCTCTAAACACACATACAAAAAAACACACATTGTCACACGCTCTCAAACATTTTAATACACGTGCACACAGCAGGGTTATTAAGTTTTATTGTGGTTGTCAATTTCAGTTTACTTCCACTGAGTTGTAATGGTGCATAAATAGTTGAGTTTTTGATTTTAACTACATTAATTTACATACATACATTTTAGATCAAAGGTCTTCAACCCTGCTCCTGGGGACCCACTGTCCTGCAAAGTTTAGCTTCAACCCTAATCAAATTTTTTTTTCTCGAAGAATCTCATATGCTCACCAAAGCTCCATTTATTAAATCAAAAATACAGTAAAGATAGTAATATTCCTGCAATTTAAAATAACTATTTTCTATTTTAATTTTAAAACGTAATTTATTCCTGTGAAGCAAAGCTGAATTTTCAGCATCATTTCTCCAGTCTTCAGTGTCACATGATCCTTCAGATATTATTCTAATATGCTGATTTACTGCTCAAGAAACATTTCTTAATATCATCAATGTTAAAAACAGCTGTTAATTAAGAAGTTAAAAAGCAGAAAGTAAAAAAAAAAGTATTTGATCATTTATTTGAAAAAGAAATGCTTTTGTAACATTAGAAATGTCTTTACTGTCACTTTTGATTAATTTAAAACATCCTTGCTGAATTAAAGTATTAATTTCTTATTCACATTCATTTTTTGACCCCAAACAAGCAAGTGATGGGTAGAGAAGTGAAGTCAGGCTGTCTGTGAATCTTACCAGTGTACATGTGATCATTACGATCCAGACTGAGAGAAAGTGTCTATGAATACAGACGGATAAAGAAAGGATGCAAACAAGACATGACAAAGATGAGAAGTCACTGAGGTGACATGAGGGTGGAAGAATATGTGTTATACGAAGAGACAGACAGAATGTAATGTGCTCTTAACCTTGATGGGATAATAACAGGTGGTGATGAATATGTGATGCAAAATCCTCTGTCTCAGGCAGAGACTGGCACCTGCTGGTCACTTGGCTTCATTCAGGACAACAGTGCTAACATGCAGCAATGTAACATAAAACCGTTCAAAAGTTTGGGCTCAGCAGGATTTTTCCTGAGTAAATTAATACTTGTATTTAGCAAGGATGCATTATATTGATCCAAAGTGACAGTAAAGACTTTTAGAATGTTACAAAAGGTTTCAGTAAATTTGTGATAATAATATGAATTGCTTCTTGACATTTCTGAAGGATCACGTGACACTGAAAACTGAAGTAATGATGCTGAAAATTCAGTTTTGCACCAAGAATAAATTACGTTTGGAAATATATTAAAACAGAAAACAGTATATAATATAATAATAATAATTTCACAATATTACTGCATTACTGTATTTTTGATTAAATAAATGCTGCTTTGGTGAGCATATGAAACTCCTTTCCAAAACATTAAAAATCCCACCAACCCCAAACTTTTGAACGGCACTGTAATACACAGCATTTCCTCTTTTATAATTGTGTGAACATGGAAAGACTCACTTTTTGAGGGGTTTTGATGGGGCTCTTTTCAACAGCCTTTACCTCTTTGTCGTCGTCACTAAAAAGAAAGAGAAAAATGCATTTGTCAAACAAATAAAAATATAAATGATCCTCTCCTTTCAACAGAGCACAAGTTCACACTGAACAAACATGAATTCTCACTCGTCGTCATCATCATCGTCGTCATCTTCATCACTATCCTCATCTGAGTCTTCATCTGAGTCCATTTTCAACTTTTTCTGAAATGACGGAACACAATCATTGGAAACAGAACAAAGTACATTTTTATAAATCTGAGCATTCCGGCAGTAAAATATGAATGGAAGTGACTGGTGAGATGCTAGAGATGACATTTCTGAAGGATCACGTGACACTGAAAACTGAAGTAATGATGCTGAAAATTCAGTTTTGCACCAAGAATAAATTACGTTTGGAAATATATTAAAACAGAAAACAGTATATAATATAATAATAATAATTTCACAATATTACTGCATTACTGTATTTTTGATTAAATAAATGCTGCTTTGGTGAGCATATGAAACTCCTTTCCAAAACATTAAAAATCCCACCAACCCCAAACTTTTGAACGGCACTGTAATACACAGCATTTCCTCTTTTATAATTGTGTGAACATGGAAAGACTCACTTTTTGAGGGGTTTTGATGGGGCTCTTTTCAACAGCCTTTACCTCTTTGTCGTCGTCACTAAAAAGAAAGAGAAAAATGCATTTGTCAAACAAATAAAAATATAAATTATCCTCTCCTTTCAACAGAGCACAAGTTCACACTGAACAAACATGAATTCTCACTCGTCGTCATCATCATCATCATCGTCGTCATCTTCATCACTATCCTCATCTGAGTCTTCATCTGAGTCCATTTTCAACTTTTTCTGAAATGACGGAACACAATCATTGGAAACAGAACAAAGTACATTTTTATAAATCTGAGCGTTCCGGCAGTAAAATATGAATGGAAGTGACTGGTGAGATGCTAGAGACAGGCACTTTTGCAAGGGTCATGCTAGACGGTCTCTTCACTGGTGATGTATTATTCTCCTCCTCTTCCTCATCCTCATCATCTGATTCCTTCACACCTGAGCAAACCACAGAGATCTCCAGACATCAATAACTTTGATTTAAATAAAAACAAAATTCGTCTTTCGTATGAGACGTTAAACTGAGGTCCTGACTCTCTGTGGTCATTAAAAATCCCATGGCACTTCTCGTAAAGAGTAGGGGTGTAACCCCGGTGTCCTGGCCAAATTACCCCCCTGGTCTTTGTCAATCATGGCCTCCTAATAATCCCCAACCACTTGATTGGCTCTATGACTTTCTCTCCTCTCCACCTGTAGCTGGTGTGTGGTGAGCGCACTGGCGCCGTTGTCCTGTGGCTGCCGTCGCATCATCCAAGTGGATGCTGCACACTGGTGGTGGTTGATGAGAGACCCCCCCCTCCCATGATTTTAAATCATGATTGATATATAAATGCATCATTCATTCATTCAAAACAACGTCACATGTCCACATTTTGTGACTAAACCAATCTGACATATATAAGTGGAAGCCTAAATGCTGCACTCATTTAATATCTGGAGAATAGAGCTGACATGTTGAAAGTGTCTGAACAGCATGTGCAAACATATGGAAGCGATTATATCAGAGAAAATGGTGTCACATGGTGCTGGTTAATTCATTTTGAGTCCGTATGGAGAGTGAAGGGCCCTTCCAGACGGCCAGATTACTCCCATGGACGTCGCAACAGGTTGAGAGGATCATTTCATCAGAGAGAAGAGAAGAGTAAACAAGAGAGAGGCAAAAGACACATCTGGGAAATGGTTTTCCTAAACTGGTCGTGTTCAGTCCTAACCAATGAGAAAAGACAAAAGGTACTCACTGACGAAATGCTGACCGCTGATGTAGACCGGCCCCCCTCCGGACTGCAGGCGAAAGGACACAGGAGGCGTGACCTCAAAACCTCCCAGACTTAGCTAGAGGTAACACGCAGACACACATATTGTTGTAATCCAAACTAGGTGAGAATGATCAAACACAACAATAGCAAAACATATTATTCATGGTCTACTTTTAGAACAAAAAGAAAAACTGTTTAGAACACAAAACATAGCTTATTCAACGAAAATCTTGAACTTGCCACATTTTTTTTTTTTTTTTTTTAAAGTAATACTTTTATCCAGCAAGGATGCATTAAATTGATCAAAAGTGACAGTACAGAAATATATAATGTTATAAAAGATTTATATTTCAAACACATGCTATTTCAAATAAATAAATGAATGCTGTTTCACATAAATGTTCTTTCTAATAATTCCTAAAGGGATGTATCCTGGTTTACAAAAAAAATATAAAGCAGCACAACTGTTTTCAACACTGATCATAATATTATTCAACGAAAATCTTGAACTTGCCACATTTTTTTTTTTTGTTGAAAAAGTAATACTTTTATTCAGCAAGGATGCATTAAATTGATCAAAAGTGACAGTACAGAAATATATAATGTTATAAAAGATTTATATTTCAAACACATGCTATTTCAAATAAATAAATGAATGCTGTTTCACATAAATGTTCTTTCTAATAATTCCTAAAGGGATGTATCCTGGTTTACAAAAAAAATATAAAGCAGCACAACTGTTTTCAACACTGATAATAATAAGAAATGTTTTTTGAGCAGCAAATCAGCATATTAGAATGATTTCTGAAGGATCATGGGGCACTGTAGACTGGGGTAATGATGCTGGAAACTCTATTTTGCATCACAGGAATGAATTACATTTTAAAATATATTAAAATTGAAAACAGCTATTCCAAATTGTAATAATATTTAACAATATTACCATTACTGTATTTTGGATCAAATAAACGCAGCTTTGGTACAGCTGCACGATTCTGGATAAATTGAGAATCACAATTTTTTTTTTGTCTCAAATAGTGATCACGAATCTCCCACAATTCTGAACTAAACAAAATAATGTGACAAAATATTATTGCTAAAGTCGATTTAAAAGTTTTGAATGAATTATTTAAAAATGTCATAATTTAATATATTTAATACACCAATTTTTAATATTAAAATTATGAAAAAGTGGTCTGAATGAATGATTCAAAGGACTCATAAAAATATTACTGGATCAATCAGCGTTTTTGAACGAATCTCTTGAATGAATGATTCAATGACAAAGACATTTTTTAACAGACTAATGCATTCGACACAAATGTTATTTGAAGCACCAGTTACTTTCCAAAGGGGATTTGATCGCTACCATAGACATAAACGTTTATATCTAAACTATAAACTTTCATCCCAGAGACTGGGGTAATGATGCTGGAAACTCTATTTTGCATCACAGGAATGAATTACATTTTAAAATATATTAAAATTGAAAACAGCTATTCCAAATTGTAATAATATTTAACAATATTACCATTACTGTATTTTGGATCAAATAAACGCAGCTTTGGTACAGCTGCACGATTCTGGATAAATTGAGAATCACAATTTTTTTTTTGTCTCAAATAGTGATCACGAATCTCCCACAATTCTGAACTAAACAAAATAATGTGACAAAATATTATTGCTAAAGTCGATTTAAAAGTTTTGAATGAATTATTTAAAAATGTCATAATTTAATATATTTAATACACCAATTTTTAATATTAAAATTATGAAAAAGTGGTCTGAATGAATGATTCAAAGGACTCATAAAAATATTACTGGATCAATCAGCGTTTTTGAACGAATCTCTTGAATGAATGATTCAATGACAAAGACATTTTTTAACAGACTAATGCATTCGACACAAATGTTATTTGAAGCACCAGTTACTTTCCAAAGGGGATTTGATCGCTACCATAGACATAAACGTTTATATCTAAACTATAAACTTTCATCCCAGTATTTTTGTGATAGTATGAAACATGGTACATGTCTGCTCTCTGTGTCAGCGACAGCGCAAACACACATTTGAATGTTCTTTGAAAGGTTTAACAGACAAGGGCAAATCGTTGTCATTTAAAAATGGGATCGCATGGGTGTTTGAATCGAGATTGCGATACCTTTTTAACAATTAATCGTGCAGCTCTAAACTTTGGTAAGAATAATAGACCTCTGTCAAAACCACTAAAAACCCAAACTTTTGAACAGTAGTATAAATTATTGAATATTAAAACATATACTACTAAGTGTTTATAATCAGACAATTTTGTGCTAAAATCAGATGATAAATGATTCCCACCACAAACATCCAAACAAGATTGGTTTCTCAGAAAGAATTCACGACTGGGATCCGTCCTGATCATTCCATGCCAGTACATTAGGCCTTCAGCGAAACATCAGCACAATTGCACAACTCGCGAAATACAAGCCACGGCCAACAATTCTGAATGAACATTCCACTGCGCCAGGCAACGGCACTTGCATCGATGGCAACCAGATGTAAACAGCTGAGGGCGCGATGGTCTGCTTAATGCTTTAAATGACAGCTATGTAACTGTTGTAATTATGTTGAATGGCGAACAATCCCTCACGTCCAAAATCATCTCAGATGATCTGTTTCAACACAAATGCTGACTGATGAGTTGATTGTCTCCCGAGCAATCGAGACAAAACCTTGTAATTAAGGTACAATTATTGCTCAAGTCAGATATCCCGGGGCGTTTTCTAATTTGGGGATTGAATAAACTGAATAAAATCCAAGATCTTACAGACAGAGTTGAAATAACACAAAAAAAGAGCTTACAGGTTTGGACATAACAGCAGCTATGTCCTAAAATAGATGACCTCAAGTGTAAAAACGAATAAGCCACCATTAAAAACTCCACCCACTGAACTAATCAAGCCAGCAGTTGGTATCTATCAGAACACAAAAAGAGTTGCAAACTCTGCGTTCTGATCGCTCTGAACCATAAAACACAGATTCCTCCCAGAGCTCTTTGGAAATGCTCACATTTTCCATAGCTGATATAAAACAGAGGCGAATATGTGCTGATGTCATGGAGAGTTTGTGCCTGCTGTCCTGATGATGCAACGATGGCCCAGCCCCTTCCAAAAACAATCTGTCAATCACAACTTGACCAGCCTCGGCACAGCTGGAAATTTTTATTAGACACATTATTCCAATACCATAAAACACCCATAACAGGCATCCCTCCACAGTAAAAATCCATATTCAAGATGTTATTGAGGGCATAATAACAACTGGCTGCTAGTAATCTC